CTAGAGTGCTATCTGACCACTGTCCTATCTTGTTAGAAAGTTTGTAACTGGGAGCAGAAAAGGTCAAACTTTAAGTTTGAGAATTGGTGGCTTAAGGTGGAGGGTTTCACCAACTTGATTCAGAGCTGGTGGAATGAATTTCTAGTGGAAGGTTGTCCTGATTACATTTTGAATATTAAACTAAGAATGCTAAAGCAGAAACTTAAGGAGTGGAGCAAGTCAAATTTTGGGGAGCTTACTAGTAAGAAAAATAGCTTACTGGAGGAACTGGAAGAAATTGATTTGATACAAGAAACTAGGGAATTGACCGAAGATGAAGTGGTAATAAGAGCCACCATAGTAGTGGAGCTGGAAGAGTTGGCAAAAAATGAAGAACTGAAATGGAGAAAAAAATCAAGGGTTTTATGGCTGAAACAAGGAGATAATAACACAAGGTTCTTTCAGAGAATGGCAACAGCACACAGAAGGATCAACACAATTGATAGATTGATAGACAGAGGAGAGGTAGTAGAAGACCCTGTAGAGATCAGGAACACCATGATTAACTTCTACAAAGAACTCTACACTGAATCTGAGGAGTGGAGACCCAGTTTTGATCTTATGGAATGTCCAACTATTTCTCAGGAAGAAAATGATTGGATGCAAAGACCATTTACTGAATCTGAGGTCTTGCAATGCCTACAACTTTGTGATGGAGATAAAGCTCCAGGTCTAGATGGCTACACAATGAGTTTCTTTAAATCTTGTTGGGGAATTGTAAAAGAGGATCTGATGCTGACAATTCAAAATTTCCATCAAAATGAAATTTTTGAAAAGTCTTTCAATGCCACCTTCCTAGCACTGATTCCTAAAAAACTTGGAGCAGAAGAATTGAAAGATTTCAGGCCTATTAGCTTGATAGGAGGAGTCTACAAGATCATTTCCAAACTGATTACTGAGGTTGAAGACAGTAATGGGGAAGCTGGTCGATGTACACCAAATGTCCTTTCTGAAAGGAAGGCAAATCATGGATGCTGCACTAATTGCTAATGAGTTGGTAGACTCCAGAGTTAAGCAAAAAATTCCTGGAATTTTATGTAAGTTGGACATAGAGAAGGCCTATGATCATGTCAATTGGTCTTTTCTGCTGAAGGTTTTAAAGGACATGGGATTTGGGAGGAAATTGCTCAATTGGATAAAGTTCTGCATATCCACTGTTAAATTCTCCCTAATCATAAATGGAAACTCTGAAGGTTTTTTCCAATCACAAAGAGGTTTGAGACAAGGTGACCCTCTGTCACCTTTTCTTTTCTTGCTAGTCATGGAAGACCTCAATCACATGATCAGAAAAGCAAATGTTAATGGATGGATTAAAAGTTTTAAGGCTCAGACTCGGGGGAATAGGGACAATGAGGTGGCGATTACTCATCTACTATATGCAGATGATACTTTAGTTTTTTGTGAGGCTGAGGTGATACAAATTAGACACATCAGAGCAATCCTTACCATCTTTGAAGGTATATCTGGTCTGCATGTAAATTGGCAAAAAAGTTTTCTTTACCCTGTGAACCAAGTGGATAATATGGAGTTGCTAGCTAGAAATCTTGGCTGCCAAATAGCAACCCTACCTACAAGGTATCTGGGAATGCCTTTAGGAGCACAAAATAATGAGATAGCAGTGTGGAGTGAAGTTTTGGAGAGATGTAACAGAAGCTTGCTAGGTGGAAGAGTCAATACCTCTCCCTGGGAGGTAGGTTGACTCTAGTTAAATCAGTTGTTGATGCCCTTCCTTCATATATGATGAGCCTATTTCCTATTCCAAAGAACACTGTGAAAAAGATCAATCAACTCAGAAGGTCATTCCTATGGAATGGAGATAAAGAGCACAAAAGTTACCATCTAGTTAAGTGGGATACTCTTACTCTTAGCAGAAAGAAAGAAAGAAAGAAAGGGGGGCTGGGAATAAAAAAGCTCAATCTTCAGAACAATTGTCTCCTTCAAAAATGGTTGTGGAGATTCTGCATTGAAGATCAGTCACTCTGGAAAAGAGTCATCACAATGAAGTATGGACTACAAAGCCATTGGATTACTGAGGAGGCTCTTGGAACTTTTGGATGCAGTGTGTGGAAGACTATTAGAAGATTATGGCCCCAATTCAAAGGCAACATCTCACTAAAGGTGGGAAATGGTAGGAAAATTGATTTTTGGAATGAACATTGGATTGGGGATGAAAGCCTGCAATCACTCTTCCCAGACCTGTTTATGCTCACCACTCAAAACAAGGCCACAATCTCACAACTATGGAGCCCTTAGGGTTGGAATCTCATATTCAGGAGAGCTTTCTATGATTGGGAAATCGAGAGGGTCATTAATCTGTTTCAGATCCTCAATGCCTTCCCGGGCACCTCCACTGAACCTGATAAGCCTATTTGGAGATGGCAAAGCAAAGGTGTGTTTACAGTAAAGTCTTGTTACTGCAGATACAATATTGGCCAAACACAGATCAAAAACTGGCCATGGAAGTTAATATGGAAGATAAAAATACCCTTGAAGATCTCATGTTTTGCTTGGTTAGTGTGCAAGAGGGCCTGCTTAACACATGAAGTGCTTCAAAAGAAAGGCAGACAAATATGCTCAAGATGCTTTATGTGTGATCAAGATGCAGAAGTTAATAGTCACTTATTCCTTCATTGCAAAGTAGCTACAAGCTTATGGAACATGTTTCTTGGTCTTCTTGGTGTATGCTGGGTAATTCCAAAGTCCACTAAGAATTTGCTCTACAGCTGGAAGGAGATAAGAAGAAGGGAGTCTAATGAAGATTGGTGGGAGTTAATCCCAGCCTGCATCTGGTGGTCCCTATGGAAATAAAGGAATGGAAGATGCTTTGTGGATAAGAGGAACACCATCCAGAAAATTAGAATGAATTGTCTTAGTCTTTTGTACTTTTGGTGTAAACAAGATATGATGGGGGATATAGAACTCTTTGCAGACTTTATAGGTAATTTGTAATCTCCCATAGGGTAGTTTGATATGCTCTGATGAGATTGTAAGTGACCTATGCTCATCATTTATTTGATGATGAGCCTTTTGTGAATACACAGTTAACTTTATCTCAAAAAAAATTAATGTATTTTCAGCATTACATAGACTTTTTTACAGGTATGTATCAAGCTGGGTATCTGTGAATATCTCTAAGGGTACGCACATTTTTTTACCAGCTTTTGCTGTATTTTAAGACATTCACATCATCACATGAAGCACCCATATTCATATCCCATCGTCCGTCAGGAGTACATCAAGAGAAATGGAACATCCATGTAACAGAGATCTTTAGCTTAGAGATGTATGATGGACATGTTAATTTCAGAATCTACTGAACTTCTTAATTTAATTTTTCGTGTAGCTAGATCATTCCTGTACTTCAAATATGAATTTTCCTTTCAAATTAGTATGAGGACTTCATTGCTACAGCAGGGACTATTGAATCTAAATTTCAAAGTTAAACTAATTTTTAAGGAGAGATTGGAAGATACAGAAATTTGTTGAATTCAGATCGATGGATTTATTTGTGAAAAACATATGGAGGAAAAGTAAAGAATGGAGAAGTAAAAAAGTATTCTATTCTTGAGCATTGGCATGGCAACTAATTGTCACTTTTTGTCCTTTTTCTTGTCTTCTGTTTCTTTCCTTTACTTTTAAAATATGTCTGGAACAGTGTTCTGGCTGTTAACATTCTTTTTTTTGTTCTTTTATTATGGTGTTGGGGTAAACAGTCCCAACTTGTTTGAGACTGATGCGTAGTAGTTGTATTCTGGTATTTGAGCAGGGGAAGAGGCAGAGCATGGGGATGGGATAAGGAAGTTGTACCAAACACAAGTGGCAAATGAAAGAAATAAGTTTTTGGGGAGAATTTTAGTTTCCAAAGAACTGTAACTGAAAAAGAAACTAATTTCTGGCACTCGAGGCTTTAGTCTATTGGTAAGAGCCAGTGTTTTAGACAGCGAAAGGCGATAAAAGGCGACAAGGGTCTGCCTCGCCACAAGGCAAGGCGCCGCTCGCCTTTTTGAAGTACGGCACCAACTAATTCAAAAAATTAAAATATTTAATTGCATATGTAAATAATCAAACTCTCAATTGCAATAACATATTAGCAAATATTTTAATTCAAAAACTGAAAATAGATAGTACATACTAAAAGTCTAGAACTTGAACGAGAAAAAAACAAAACAAAAGTCAAAACAAAGGTAGAAGTGACTTGAAGTCCAAAGAAGGAAAAAGAAATTTGAAGAAGAAATATGTATTGGTTACTTTGGAGTAGCCGGAAAAGTTTGCCTGGTCGCCGGAGGAGTCTAGTCGTAAACCCTAAAATTACCTTTCAACTTTGAAAACCCTAAATTGGTCACCTTTTTTTTTAAGAATATACAAAAGGCGACGCCTTTCTTGGTTTTCTTGCCTCTCGCCTTTTGGCGCCATGGTGTCGCCTTTTGAAGATTGCCTCGCCACAAAGCTAAAAGGCGATGAAGGGTCGCCTCGCTTCGCCTCTTGCCATTGGCGACGGGGCGATCGCCTTTCACAACACTGGTAAGAGCGTAATCCATATCCCATGATGTGCGGGTTCGGCGCATGTCACGGGTTCAATCCCTGCAGCAAACAAAAGCCTCTTATTTGAGCGGAGAAGGGTAGAGGGGTGGGCGGGGGATGAGAGGAGGGATGCAACCATTTTCCACTGAGTTTTACAGTGCACCATTGGCCCTCTGGAGATTCTGGGTTATAAAAAAAAACTAATTCTGCTAGAAGAATTTATTATTTACCTAATTTTTTTATTTTTTTTGAGAAAAGAACTTACCTAAAAACTTGAATCAGGAAATCTAACTAAGCTCCATTTTTGAGTTACTTTGGGCCTAAGATATGGAAAACGAAAATTCAGTAAACTAGTATTTTGTGAATACCCAGGCTATGTTGCATATAAATCCTTATTAGTGAATGTCCCTGATCATATTATTTCTCGACTTTCTTTGCAGCTTGTCTTGCTGAAATCAATTGATGGTGTGGATGCTGAGTGGGTTAAGGAAGTTAAAGGAAATACTTATGACATGGTTGTTGAAGGTTTTCAACTCTTAAGCAGATGGACTGCACGAGTTTGGGAACAATGTGCTTGGAAATTTTCTCGCCCATGCAAGGATCCTGTTCCAATGGAGTCGCATGACATGCCTGCATCATTTTCCGACTATGAAAAGGTTTTATTATAATTTTTATGTAGCTGATTACCCTCTTACATGTAATGGTGCATCTCAGTGAAATTCTCGTTCTCTTTTGCCTCCTCTCTCCCCCCAACACAAAAAAATAAAATACAAAATTTGAAGAGAGCTACTTCCTTTTTAATGCATCTGACATGATATCTGTTAATATTCTTAAATTGGAATGAAGGTGGTACGGTACAATTATAATGCTGAAGAAAGGAAGGCTCTGGTTGAACTTGTAAGCTATATCAAGAGTATTGGGTCAATGATGCAAAAGGTGGACACTTCAGTGACCGACGCCTTGTGGGAGACAATCCATGCAGAGGTGCAAGATTTTGTACAAAATACGCTGGCGACAATGTTGCGGACTACCTTTCGGAAAAAGAAAGACCTTTCTAGGTGGGAGTCGCTTCCTCCCTTTTTTGTTTTTGAAAGTTTTTCTTACTATTCTCGTATTAGGTCAATGAAAACTCATAAGTATGTAATATGATCATCCTTGTCAAACTTTGAATGCATGTTTTGACTGGACTAGGATACAGATTTTCTTTAGGATCAGCTTGTCTTTAAAGCAACATTTTATTCCCAAAGTTCAACAACAAAATGCGCAGTATAATCTTACAAGTGGGGTCTGGGGTGGGGAGGGTGTAATCAGATCCTATTCCCGAAGTTCAAGCGAAACTATTTTCTTATAACTTATTCTAGGATGAGCAAAAAATATTTCGTTAATGAGAAAATCAAAGAAAGGACAAGAGGGTGTTTGACTTGACTTAACCAACTTTGAAGTAGTTTTCAGCCCTCAAGAGTGTTTGGAAATTTTAAAACGACTTAAAAAAAATTAAAAGATAAAAGTAGATACCCCCTACTTCTTATTTTTTAACGTAAAAGTTATTGAAGTTTGACTTTCTAAAAACTACTTTTAAAAAGCTACTTCTTTTAAGCTAAGCCAAACAGACCCAAAGTTAGCCCCCAATAAATAAATTGAATGAAAAATTGCAATATTCCATAGAACTCCACTTAATCACTACGAAAGTTTTTCTTGAAGGAGAACAGACAATTTAGAATGATGAAACTCCATAAGGAATAACATTCTGATGTTGACCTTGAAGAAGATTAAAACATGTTTTTTTTGGGATAACAATTTAGAATTGAGTTCTTTATGCTGAACATGGAGAGGTGTACAATTCTACTTTGAAGTGATGAAACAGGCATAACTAAGCCAAGAAACAGATTGTTAGATTCAGAAAGGTAGCAAGTTGCAGTTTTTGCGTAGTGTTTGGGGATGTATTGGGGAAAATGATGGAAAGCAAGGGAGCTACAGACGTTAGTTGAAGGGTGATATTAACATGTAAAAAGGGATGCCAGAGTGGTGGAAGAACTGTGCAAACTTGAAGCTACGGTCAGTCATTGAAAAACACAAAAAGGGAAGAACAATAATAATTGTACCTTGTAGGGTGGCTAAGACTATATTTTACAAGTGATTTTGGTTACTAACGAGTAAGAAGACCACATGGGGGTTTGTGGGAATAGAAATTTTGTTCTCGGTCCCTTTTGGTCTTTGTATGCTTTGTTTGTGTTGGGTATTCCATGCCTCAGGAGTCAGGATTATGCAAATGCTTTAGCATTTGAGAAACATTTAACTTTTTATATGAAGCCAAAGAGATTGTCTCTCGAGTATCAGACCCGACATACGTAATAGTTCTTTTAAATTAGAATGCTTTGTTGTTTTACATAACTGATTTGGATACTTGGATTTTGGTCTAATTATGATTCTTCTAGTCTCTAAGTGCTCCACATTTTTGCATTGTTGTCAGGATTCTTTCCGATATGAGAACACTTTCAGCAGATTGGATGGCAAATACTAGTAAGCCAGAGACTGAAATGCAGTCATATCCACATAGTGGTGAAGAAGGCAGAGGGACCTTATTTTATCCAAGGCCAGTAGCACCAACATCTGCTCAGGTTTCCTTACTTATATTTTCTGATTTGGGATTTCAATGTTGTAAAGTACACTTCAAGTGCAAATTCTCATTATTGTTAGACAAGCATAAATGATGCATCTATATTCTTATTAACTCAAAATATTGCTCTGGGTGGAAGTGCTCCTTTAATGATTTGTGGTCTCTTATCTCATCTGAATACTGGAGACATCTGACACGAGATTTAAGTGGCCAAAGTGAGAGTTTACTACTATCTCTCTTTACAAGCTTCATTGTCCTTGTGCATGCATTGTCATGATCTAAGTAGTGGTGGATGAGAATGTTCCGTTACTTATCTAATATCTTTATTCTGTAGGACACAAGATGTATAATTGTACCGGTTATGATTATTAATTATTTCGGTATGCTTTGATTAATTTGCATTTAGAGTTTCACATCCGTGGAATGTCTAAAGTATCTTTTTCAGTACTATATTAATCAATTTTTCTCAAGATAGAAGTAAATTTTGAAATCAAACTTACAACTTTGAAACTCTCCATGTAGTGGTGCTTTGTTTCCTCTATAAGCTATTGCCAAATTGATAGCAACTAGCAAACTGATACTGGTAAAAGTGATTATATCAAAAAGAGATATACATCAAATGCACCTACCTTGGATATTGGGTATACTGTATGTTAACCTTATCAATGCCTGACTTCTCCCTTTTGTCAGGTCCATTGCTTGCAGTTCCTCATATATGAAGTGGTTTCCGGTGGCAACATGCGGAAGCCTGGTGGTATTTTTGGAAATAGTGGTTCGGAAATACCTATCAATGACTTGAAACAGCTGGAGGCATTCTTCTACAAACTTGGTTTTTTCTTACATGTATTAGACTACACAGGTATCTATCTATACTATGTTATTTATCTCCTTTAAGGCAGACAAACATTCATGATCTTTTTCATTAATGTGCAAGTTAGGTGTAGAACTGTTGGTGATACTGTACGTACTTAGTTAAAGTCATTTGCATGTACAAGAACATATGAGTTCTTCTGTATCATCTCTCTGGCCTTCATAAGCCACTGCTTTATGTTTCTCCTCCTGACTCCTCTAATGATTTTGAGCATATAACAGTGTTTATTTTGTAATATATTTTCTTAAGCATAATCCAATTCCATGCACTCCCTGCAGCTACACTAGGAACTTTGACCGATCTTGGTTTCTTATGGTTTAGAGAATTCTATCTGGAGTCTTCTCGTGTTATACAGGTATATAAGTGTGAACTTGCTTGATGATCTTTTTCTTTTGTGTAGTTAAATTCTTATTTGCTAGAGGTTTTGGTGTTGGTGGTATATCAATGGATTTCAACTTCACAAGTAAAGGCTCATTTCTTAATACATATCAGTATCCATTTATTCCTTTCTTGTGAGTTGACATCAGGATGCTCCCTGAATCTTCTTAACATCTTAAAAGTTGTTCCTGAAACAAAAAAAAAATACAAAAACTGTACAGAAAAAACTTTGCCTAGTTCTTCTTAAGCTGTCATGGCTATTTCAAGAAATTTTATCCATTTCTATTTACAGTTCCCCATTGAATGCTCCCTTCCATGGATGCTGGTGGATCATGTGATCGAATCTCCAATTATTGGCCTTCTGGAGAGTGCCTTGATGTCATTTGACATCTATAATGATGCTGCTCAGCAAGCATTAGTGATCCTCAAGCAACGTTTTTTATATGATGAAATTGAAGCTGAGGTAACAAAACGTTACATTCGCATATTAATATTGTTGATCCAGGGAAATCCTTGAGGTCATAGTCTCTCCACCTTCCAAACTTCACATATGTACATGCAATCTCTATATTCAGCAGATTCTTATGCTGTGAACAACATTCTTAATTCCATCTTATGAAATAAGGAACTCTATAATTTTGAATTTCAAGCATTGTTGTCACCTTGGAGATATCCTCATGTTATACTTAAAATGCGTTTGGTTTAAGATATTGAAATATCAATTATGCTTTAGGAAATCTAGTTTAGTAGACTCAATAGAAAACTCTTATCTTCCCTGTGTAATTAAAAGCTATTACAGAATTTTTTGTTTTCCATATTTTCTCCAGGTGGACAATTGTTTTGATATATTTGTCTTGAAGTTGTGTGAGACTATTTTTACATACTACAAAAGCTGGGCAGCCAGGTACCTCCTTTCTTTACCTTTTGTCTAATTTTTACTGAATAAAATGGTCTATAAGAAGTTGAGGATCTCCTATTCTGCAGTGAGCTACTTGATCCATCATTTCTCTTTGCCATAGACATTGGTGAAAAGTTTGCAGTCCAGCCAATGAGATTCGTAGCTCTTTTAAAAACAACTAGAGTGAAGGTACATATAAACTTATATTCTGTATATGGTCATGAACTTATCTGTTTTACCAGGGTTCATCTCCTGATTTTTTTATGTCCAGTGGTAGTGGGTTCGACAAGTATTCAAGCAACCTCGTTTTCTCTGGTCTATGGAATTTTCCAAATTTGCATTTGCTTCCATTCTTCGAAGATTGTGAAAATATCCTGACTGGTGTGCACTGAGAGGTTTGGATATGTTTTGCATAACAGACATGGCTCAATACAAGTGACTTGTCTTGACGAGAGTTGTTTTTCCAAAACCAAATTAGTGTGTCAAATTATGGACATGGAAAATATGTTGTTGCTTTAATAATTTGGCTAAATCTTTTCAATAAAAGGATAAAAAGATATGATATTGTATCTACAAAGAAAAAGATATAATATTTTACCTAACAGTACTATTGTCAAAAAAATAATAATATTTGTATCTGTCAAAGGTTCCACAACCCACTTATCAAAGAAAAAAGGGGAACAAAAGAAAAAGAAAGGTTATGCAAACATAGACCAAAATAAATCATGGATATTGTTAGAATCTTTATGAATATTTTAGAATATATGTAAATATAGTAGGTGACTTAATTTACTTCTATTGTAATTAGGTATTGATTTACTTTGCTTCTTAGGACATGTAAGCCATTGAGGGAAAAATCAAAGCTGATTTCTCTCTTTTTTTTCTTTGGCTTCAAATGGTATCAGAGCCTTGGTGAGAAACATTCAAAAAAGAAAACTCAAGTAAAATAGGTCAATGTGTTTCAACTTCCACTAATGTTAGGGTTGATTTGCGTCATCTCTTGTTTTGCGAGTGTTGTGCGAAAGCCAACACTACCACGAGGTTCGCAAAACTCAGGCGAGCAAACCCAGCAAGCCTCTTCGGCATCTGACTGTTCACGCACCGGCAACAACAAGATCTCCGGTAATGCGTTTTCTCCACGCGCCAAGCGTGTGAGCAGTCTTCCGACGTGTTTCAGGTCACTCTTCTTTTCAGTATTCACCTGCTTATTCTGCCCTGACCGATACCTATCCTACAAGTTTCGACAACCAGATTCAGATCTATCACTGTTCTGGCAAGTTTACAGTTGTTTTCTTGCGTCTGGGAAGATTTTCAGCAACTTTCATACACTTTGAAGGTTTCTAATAGGTTGTTTCCGACCTCATCCACAAGCTTTTTTTTTATGGAAAATAGTCGTCGGAAGTTTTCAGCTAGTGATCTAGCTCTTCAATTCATTTCCTTCCGGGTTGATATTTTTGGCTCCAAATACACGAGAATTGGAAATTCAAGTACTTTGATTACATTGGAACCCTTAATGAGAAGTTCAAATTATTTAACTTGGCTTCCTCGATTGAGTTGTGGTGCAAGGGTCAAAGTGTTCAAGATCACTTTACAAAATAGGCTAGTGAGGTGATGAAAAGATCCGAGCACAGTGGGAGAAGGTTGACGCTCAATTATGTAGTGGCGATCAATTGATTCCATGTTGATGTCCTTATTCTACCATTCCAGACATGTTATTCAGGTATATATGGAGCATCCTCAGGTTTTGTTGTTTAGGTGGAGTCTAGTATCATGGTGTGTAGACTATGACAGTCACTATTTAGTCTGAAGCAGTTTCCTACACGGTTTGGAAAATTTAGCATGGTCCAAAGTGAATTTACCATTCTGCATTCTATTGTCACTTTGCTCTAGGTTTGTGCATGTGCTTGGTGGTTTACGTCGATGACAGTCATTACAGGTAATGATGAAGATGGAATTACCAAGTTGAAACATCACTTTTTCAACACTTTTAGACTAAGGATCTTTGTTGATTGAGGTACTTCTTTGGCATTGAGGTTGCTCAATCCAAATAAAAAACTGTCATTTGATAGTGGATGTATGCACTTGATATTCTTGAGGAGACACGGATGACAAGTTGTATACTTATTGATACTCTGAAGGGGAGCGTCTTAGTTATCCGGGAAGATATAAGAGGCTAGTAGGAAAATTAAATTATCTCACTGTGACTCTACCTAACAATGCTTTCCTGGTTAGTGTTGTAAGTCAGTTCTTGGATTCACCCTATGGCAGTCATTGAAATGAAGTTATCTACATTCTTCGATACATAAAATCTGTTGTAGGGAAATAGTGACTTTACGAAGGCCTGCATATGTTGCTTGGACTCTTCAAAATCCCTACCGCACCCGTGTTGACAGGGTGTGGGTGTGGGTGTTGATATACAAATATAGATTGGGCATGATCACCCTCTGACATTCGATCCACTTATGGATAGTGTGTTATAGTTGGGGGAAATTTTGTATCTTTAAAAAGCAAGAAACAAAATATGGTTGCTAGATCAAGTGCAACAAAAAAATATCATGGTATGGTAATGGCTGCATGTGAACTCATATGGATCAAGCAACTACTGAAGGAGTTAAAATTTGGAGAGATTAAAGAAATGGAACAGTTGATTGGTTGGATTATCGGTGGATTCAGTTTGAGCAACATGAACATTCTTTGCTTTACCATGGAGAGTAGCACACATCACGGGTATGGCCCAATTTGTTATAGTTGTTTTTCATACCGGCCTCCATGTCGATTTCCAGTCTGGATGCTAGAATAGAAGAATCTGCAGGTGGTACTGGATGACAGATGACTAGATGACATAGTGGTGCAACTAGTCGTAACAATTTAGCAAACATGTCATCCCCAACAGAAGCAGTAGAGCTAGCCAAAATTTGATCACACATTGTGTCAAGATCCGATGGAAGACCAACAAGTGTAACAACTAGAAACATCTTCTGGCGCTGCTCCAATTGCTTTTCAACATTTGGAGCGGCTGGCATTAACTCATTAAATTCTCCCATAACCACATGAACCTGTCTAAGATAGGTCAAGTTATCTGAGTCCTACTTTTTAAGATTAGTCAATCGAGAAATCACATTATAAAGGAGGGATATGTCATTTGTGTATAGCCCATGAGCCTTTTCCCTAACTAACAAGCAAGTTTGGAATGGTCGGAACAACGACATTGACTTCGAATCAATAGATTTCCATAATAGACTAATATCTCATAAAAAAAAAGATTTTCATAACAGACTTTATAATTGAGCATCAATCTTCTCCCATTCGTCCCTATCTTTTTCGGTAGTATCCTTAGTCTGTGTAACCAAGTGTTCTGAACACCTTGTTCCTTGCACCATAATTGAACAGAGGAGGACCTAGATAAATAGTTCACACTACCTATCAAAGGTTCTGTGGTTATGCCATCGTTTGAGTTATTGGTGCCATAGATTTAGTGCTAAACATATAACTAAGCTTTGACAAAGGAGAGGGGGACCCTTCTCATACCCGCCCTTACAGGAGCCTAACAGAGAACCTTGCCCGACACCATTTCCGGACCTAGCAGCAGACGGGCGGGACGTGCCTGAATTCAGACCGGACCAGACTCTTCTTTGTTTGATCCGAGAGACATGAAAACAAATCTATTCGTGTTGAAAAGAAAGGTCTGGAAAAGAACCCAAAGAATAGATCTGGAAAACTGAAAACTACTTGTTGTCTTTCTGGAAAATTAGATTTGACCACCGGGAAGTGGTCAAAATGGGAAAAAAACTAATGGGTAGGATCAGAGTGCTACGGCAAACCTATTGAAACAAGGAATCTGTCGTAAAAGTGATTGGGAAACATCATACACGGGTAGGATCGGAGTACTACGGCAAACCTATTGAAACAAGGAATCTGCCGTAAAAGTGATTGGGAAACATCATACACGAGGACTTCGATTGTAATGGTGGTATTGCTATATGCACAGTACCACTGGGGAGTGTCAGAATCTTGGAACAATGGAGGTTTTGCTGGAAAAATGCTCAGCAATTTTGTTCTCTTATTTTATTCTTGTTGTCACTAAAGAAAGCTCTGATACTATGTAAAATTAGGTTTTGGGCCTAGCTCACACTCCAAAAGTTAGTTCAAAGGGAGGAGAATTGCTTAAGCCATATAAGGAGACCACTCATCACCCCACCTCACGCCAAGGGCTGGACATATGGTGCGTAGGCAAGTTTAATTTTATTTTTTTGAGGCTGGTAACATAGTAGGAAAGTTTAATTCTTTCTTGGCCCAACATCAGATGGGTCCTGCTCTAATACCATGTGAGAAAACAAGAGTTTGAGAGAACTCAGCTTGATTATTCCCACAAGCTATTGGGGTTTAAATAACTAAGTTTATATGTCCTAAAAAGGAGAGGATATCAATACAAATCAATACCTAATTATAATAGGAGTAAATCAAGCTACCTACTATATTTACATATATGCTATAGAATATGGATTCTAACAGTTTCTAACACCATTAACATCATGTTTACCCTTGTGGGGTGGGGAGTGGAAGCGGAAGAAGACAAGGTCATTTATACATGTCATGCCTCATGTCCAGAAAACCTTTGACATGGATTCAATGTCCTTTTAAAAGCATATGTTGTATTAGTCTATAAAAATTTGAACATTGTACTCGGGGTACCATTCATTTAAAGGAGATGCATCCATTTTGACCAGTCGTTGCTTTTTTACTTAGATACCAGGTCATTTTTTACTCATTCTCCCTTTCTATATCATTTTTATATTTATGTTCTAAAGTTGGACTTGTATATGAGAATCTTGATTTATCTACATTATGTTTGTTTCTATGGTGTTCCTTTCTAACTAGAAATTCTTGTAACATGCAGCTTCTAGGTAGGACCATCAACTTGAGAAGTTTGATTGCTGATAGGATGAACAAAATGTTTAGAGATAATCTTGAATTTCTGTTTGATCGCTTTGAATCACAGGATTTATGTGCTATTGTGGTAAATACTCTCACATATCTTCTGGATTAACCCAATCTGAACATTTCTTATCTCTTAATTGAAAAACTTAACACTTCCTCTCCTCTCTCTCTCTCTCTGTACATTTATCAGGAGTTGGAAATGTTGCTGGACATCTTGCAACTTACTCATGAATTACTCTCGAAAGACCTTACAATAGATTCTTTCAATCTTATGTTGAATGAGATGCAGGAGAATGTATCCCTTGTTTCTTATTCTAGTCGACTTGCTTCACAGGTTTGTCAATGTCTCTTTCAATCCTGTGTGAAATTTAGTATGACAGATATTCATATTTATCAATCTCTGTTTTATTATAATTTCTGCATAACTTCTTTTAAAAATGAAAAGCCCCCAAGGCCTAGCTCAAGTGGCTAAAGGTGGAGGATTTGTGGCTTAGGTCGCAGGTTCAAGCCCCACACCATGCAAAGCGAAGCCCGGTATTTAAGTGGAGAAGGGTAGAGGGGCGGGGCATTATCCACCGAGTTTATAAGACTGTGATTGGTCCAAAGGGCGGGTCACAAACGGATTTCTCGGTTATCAAAAAAAAAATATATTAATGAAAATTTTATTAAAGAATAGCACCCCTCGTGCAATCAATAAAGAGTAGAACCCCCCAAAATTCATCTTATTACACTAGCTACATGTGAAAAGAACTAAGGAAATAACATCTATTTCCTATCTTCTTTTTGTATGTGCATAGTGTTAAAAATTGCACCTTCTGAAATGTTGGTTTCCCTTTTTGAAAAAAAAGGAAGAATAGATATGATCACAAGAGTCTAAAGTTGCCTTCGCTTAGTGATTTTGATTAGGGAAGAGGTGCTTGGGACTTGGGAGTGGTGGGATTGATGGTTAATGCACTTTCTGTGTGGGGGTATGAATAGGAGTGGGGTGACAGAGTTGTACTGGGCTACGAAAAATGGCAGCTTCTCATTCAATTCAAGCAAGTGACGAGTACATTTACAGTAGATGATTGGGTATGTAAGGCTTTCACGGTGTAATAAGAGGAACTAGACAACAGAGAACTAGCAAACGTGGTTGACGAATTTAGCAGAAAGGGGCGAGAAATACAAATTGTGTTTGAACTCAGCATTTCTATTTTATATAGTAGTATCATTGTCTTAGAGAGGCATATGGTGTGTTTGGTATGAAGGAAAATGTTTTCTTGGAAAACAAGTAGATTTTTGACTTATTTTCTCATGTTTGGTTGGTGCGTAGAAAATATTTTCCGGAAAATATTTTTTAGTGTTTAATTTATGAATGAAAATTATTTTTGAGAAAATATCTTTTATTTTTACTAGAGAGTAGAAAATAATTTTTGAATTGAAATTGAAAATATTTTTTAAAAACAAACTTAAA